TGACTTTAAAAGTTACTCTGATCTGCTGTTTGGGGATAGGACCAATGCCACCGATGATTTCTGTAGTCCAGCGGTTCTCAAAGTGTGATTACTGGACCAACAGTATCAGTATCCCCTTGGAATTTGCTAGAAATATATATTCTTACACCCCGACCTAGACCTAATGAATCAGAATCCTAAGGGTGGGACCCAGCAATCTACGTTCTAGCAAGCCCTCCAGGGGATCATGTGGCAAGCTAAGTTTTGAGAACCAATGCTCTAAGCATGTTTTCAAAGACCTTGTATCCAGCCCCCCTTTTCAGTTAAGAGCGTATGACTATTACTTTGTGATTTGAAGCAACAGATAAGGTTTATATTGATAACCATCAACCTCATATGGCCTTTTAAAACTGTCCAGCAATCTATCTCTGACAAGCCTACCTTCCCATACTCGGCAGTGACTACTTCGTAGCTTCTAAAAAGCCACAGCTTATAGTTTGCCAATTGTACATTGCACCTTAATTCTTGATCACAGTGTGTTATATATTTCAGGTTTATATATATTATAACAACTTTCCAGGAGATAGCACAGATTATTTTGAGGGATATCCATCCTTGGGTAATTTGCACAAGTCACCTGATTATCTAGTACCATGGCTGCCTACTTCTTTCCTTTAACCTTTGATTCTTGCCCTCTCTGCCACACCCTTCACCCCCAAGCAGATGACACCCATTGAAGCTGCCAGGTGGGGACTCACTTATCTTCCCACTTCTATCAGCTGCTGGCATCCACAGCCTGTTCTCCTGTTTCTGTGTTAACTGAAGAAATGCACCTCCTCCTTCCTCAGCTCAGACCCTCTACCTGCACTTGGATCCCTCCCACCTTCTCAGAACAATAAGCTCCTCTCTTGCACTATCTCCCTCCCTCTCACACACACACACTTTAGTAATCTTCTCTTCATAGATTGCTCCCTCCAGTAATCAAAGTGCTCATCTTCAAAAATCTCTCCTGTGATCCCATATTCCTCTTCAGATGTAGCCATCTCTATATCATCGTGGCCAGCCAGCAGTTATGAGTTTGCTACCTAGTCTCCATCATTGTTTGCTTCTTCTACTGCATGGAAAGTTCTCCCATCAGTCACTGCTGACCTCCATATTGCTGATCTAATGAACACTTTTCATTCCCCAGTAGCATCTTGTATCACCATGAACCACCCTTTTCTAGGAAAATGAACTCCTCACATGACCTCTCATACTTCCTTAGCAACTTATTTTCAAGATCCCTTGCCAGCTTCCTTTCTCTTTGCCTATCAAATTCTACAATTCTTTGTGGCCTTCTCTTGAGTTCTCTTTTTCTCTCACTTTACATTTTTCCCTGAATAAAGATGGGAAGTAGGTTATGGTTATCTGGTTGTCACAGCAGGATTTGTTGAAAACATGACTTTTTCCCCATTGCATGTTCTTGGCACCCTCGTTGAAAATCAATGGTCACAGATGTTTATTTCCACATTCTCGATATTATTGCACGGGTCTATATGTCTATTCTTATGCCAGTGTGGCACTGTAGCTTTGTAGTGAGTTTCAAAAGTGGAGTTTGAGCTCTCTAATTTTGTTTTTCTTTCCCATATTGTTTTGGCTATTTGGGGTCCTTTGCAATTCCATATGAATTTGTAGATCAGCTTTTCCACTTCTGCAAGAAAGTCAGTCAGTGGTTATTCTTGATAAATTTTTTTAATAAAATGAGAATTGTATACCTTCTTAGCATAATTAAAGTCACTCTCATGCTTAAAGTAGAAACACTAGAAACAGTCTTATTAAATTCAGTAACAAAATAAGGATAGCTATTATTCATAATTAAAGTCACTCTCATGCTTAAAGTAGAAACACTAGAAACAATCTTATTAAATTCAGTAACAAAATAAGGATAGCTATTATTATTATATAATATTGTCTTGTATATATTATTCACTACAGTTAGAAAAAAAGAAAGTAATTAAAAATATAAAAATTAGAAAGAGTAGGTAAAATTAACTCCATTTGCAGCTAATATGATTGCATCCATGAAAAACCCAGGAAACTCGATGGAAAAACTATAATAAACAGCAGAAACACTTAGTTGGCAGCATACACAATTATACAGAAGTCATAGCTTTTGTATATCCAAACAAAACCAAAAGCACCTACATCCTAATTTCTGGAACTTGTGAATATGTTACCTTACATGGTAGAAGGAGCTTTGCAGGTGTGATTAAGGATCTTGAGATGGGGAGATCATCCTGGATTACCTAAGTGGGTCTAATGTAATCACAGGGGTCCTTGTAAGAGGGAACAGGAAGATCAGAGTAAGAAGAGAAAGATATGACAATGGGAGCAGAGACTAGAGTGATGTGCTCTGGAGATGGAGAAAGGGGTCATAAGCCAAACAACGCAAGTGGTCTCTAAAAGCTAAAAAAAAAAGACAAGAGAGCAAACTCTCCCTCTATATCCCAGTGCTCTCCCATTTCGATCCAGCCCAGTGAAATCCATTTCAGACTTCTCACCTGCAGAACTATAAGATAATAAACATGTATTATTTTGAGTCACTAAAGTTGTAGTAATTTTTTACAGCAGCAGAACACTGATAGGTTCAGTGACAAAAATGACTTGCACAACGGCAAGGTCTCTCATAGTCTTGATTAGGAAGACTCAACAGCATGCTGTTGTCAATTCTACCAAAGTTGATCTGTAAATTTACCTCAAATCCTATAAAGACCCCAACAGGTTATTCAAAATTCATGTGGAATATTAAAGCAAGAAAAAAAATAGAGAAAAAAGTTGAAAAAGAAGATCAACCAGGAGGAAACAGCCCTAACAGCTGTTAAAATTACTAAAATGCTTTCATAATTGAACTAATGTAATAGAGGTAATAAACAGATTTACTAATGAAATAAAATAGAAACTTCAGAAATATAGACAAATACATAAAAGATTTAAGGATATGATAAATCTTAATCTCAAATCAGTAGTTAATAATAATGTGAAACCAGACAACTCTCTAAAAACAGTGGATAAATTCCAAGCAGAATAAGGATTTGAATGTTAAAATGGTAAACTTCAGAAGTAGTTGGAAGAAGTATGGGAATACCTGTCTATAACTTCAAATGGGGAAGATCTTTTCAATATGACATAAACCAAAAGACATATATTAAAAGACTGACAAATATAAAAAAAAAAAAAACCCTACCTTGCAAAAATAAATATAAGAAAAATCAAAAGCAATGACAAACTAGGAAACAACACTTGAACATATATCTCAGACAAGGGATAATTTCACTAATATGTGAAGAGTTTCTATAAATTGAGACATTTGAAAAAAATATATTCAAATTTATTTGGGATACAAATGTAAGTAATCTGAGAAATAGTTTTCCATAAAATTGAAAAACATTGAAGTTTGATACTATATAGTATTGACAAGCTATAATATTCTTATACCTAAAAATACTGTCATATAGATTTTGAGAGGGGAATTGGGGTGCAATTCGGAAGTAATTTTAAAATCTACAAACATGTTCAAATGCTTTAACCCAGAAATCTCACATCTAAGCATTTATTCTACAGATATTTTTGCTCAAGTATGACTTATGTACATATAAGGTCACTCTTTGTAAAATTGTTTTAAATAAAATTGGAAATCTTTCAATTCTTATCAGTGGAAGAGTGGTTAAATAAACTATGGTACATTCATATGTAATTACGCAACTGTGAAAAAGACTGAATTATTCCTAAGATTGTTAAGGGTTGGGGGCGGGGAATAAAGGTACAGAACAGCCTGTCAGACTACTTGTGTGAAGGGATGTGGAATACATATAAATAAATATGCCTCATACTTACCTATGCACAAAAACTCCTTGGAAGTAATCCAGGAAGCTACTAATGCAAGCTGCCCAAGGAGAAAGAAAAAGGGTAGCTGGCGTCCAGGAACGGAAAATTTTTCACCAAACCTTTTACATATTGTTAAATTTTGAACTATGTGTATGTGACCTACATTACAAAGTTTAAAAAAAAATCATTGAAATTAAGAAACTGGGACAGGAAAACAACTATAAGATGACAGAATATAGAAATGTAGAGAGAAAATGCAAATTCACCCAGAAGGCCACTGCTACCTGCCCCTTGGGCTCTTCCATTCTCATCTACCAGTGGATTATTAGATCTGTGTAAGCTCAGAATCACCACTCTGCGATGGTAGCTCTGCTCCACATGACAACAAATATATAGGAATTTGAACAATTTCAAGCAAACCAGCCTAACCATGATACTGGCTAAGGGCTTCGTTTACTTGGTAAACACATAAACAATGCCTTTGCTAGACTTTGTTTTAGCTTAACTATTTTAATCCTCACAAAAACTTTAAGAAGTAGGTGTTATAATCTCCATTCTACAGATATGCAAACTGAGGCAAAGGGAGGTTAAATGGTCAGAGGACACAAAGCTATCAAGCAACATAAGTGAAATTTGAGGTCAGGCAGTCTGGCTTCCAGCTCCATGCTCTTGACCATGTGTGTTATAACTTGATTTCTAAGTAACAGTTGGAGTTGACCCATATCTTAAAGACAGACCAGCAGATCTTTTTTCATGGGAAATAAGCTATGTATGTGCTTGTATTTCATAACGTACAGTGTTCTCAGATTCTTTTCCGTAAAAGAAATTGTTTGCAGTTGTGATAGAAAATCAGTACCACTTAGAGCATGCATCTTGCTGCTTGGGTGTCTGTCCTCATAACATTTCCAGTTTCACAGGTGATTTAAATCACAGTTCCCAAATCAAAGATGAGAATGTTAAAGCTAAGGAGTGGTTTATGCCCATGGAGAACTCTAAGAAACGGAAGACCAAGAACACATTATCTTGCTAAATAATGGTAAAAAATCCAGAGGGCTATAACCCTTGCTTCCATCATTTGAGAAAGACTTTCATCATAGTCAGTGTTTGTTTTTTTTTTAAGAAATGTCATATCAAATTATGCTTTTATGTCTTTTTAGGATTTCATCAAGGGTCTTTCCATTTTGCTCCGGGGGACAGTTCAAGAAAAACTCAACTGGGCATTTAATTTGTATGACATAAATAAAGATGGCTACATCACTAAAGAAGTAAGAAATGCCACACCAACACAACTCTCCTTTGGACTGTTTCCATTTTTCTTTTCTAACTTTATATGTTAAACAATTGAAATTATTAATTTGAAAATTGTGTTTTTAGGAAATCTGAAGTATTTTACATGGTGGTGGTGGTGAAATACTCTAATAAAAAACTTGCAATGGATAGGAATAGTTTATGGTGCATATATCTTCAAAGTAAATATAAAACACATAAGGATTGTATTCCTGTTTCCTAATGGCATTCAAATAAATACTGTAAATTGGATAAAGGCTGTGGTTGGAATCAGGAAGAAAATGTATACATACCATGCTGTGACCTTTTTTCTCCCAATATAACATGGAAACAGATACAATTTTAAAATTACCGAGACTGCAATTACCTGTATTGTATAGAACTTAACCTGAAGGGAGTGGTGGGGCCCCCAAACACTATCAGCCAGGCTATCCAAGAAAAAAGGCCCACAGACCAAATTAAGAAACTCCTATCAATGGTTTATTAAACTAGTATAAAACACAGTGAGAAGGGAAAAGGGATAAGGTAAGTTAACAAATTTAGGATAGGGTCCAAATGAGGTTGAAAGTCATTACATGAATCCTGGGGGATGCTCAGTGTTCATAACGTCCCTTCTCACTGACTCACTTGCTTTTCCTGAAGTTGATTTGAGCATGAGGCCCCTCAAACAAAAGGGACCCTGATTCAATGACCTGACCTTACTGATAGAGACACATGGACAAGTGTATCTGACCACAGGTAGAGTGTGACAGCCTGATCGAAGGCCATAGGTTTTGTGTTTTTTGAGCAGGAGATAGATGGGGCCAGAATATTTCTCACCAACGGATGTCTGAAGTAAGACCTCATGAATACTAAGTGCTTCTGCATATTGAGCATATCCTGAACAGCTAGTGCCTCTTGTAACTGGTGTACAGTAATACATTAAATATTTAGTAGCTGGATGCCTTGGAAATATTAGGTACCTCTTGGCCCTTTGATCCCTTTCTATCTCATGTTTAACACAAACATGCTGATCTTACATGTAACACATCTCATGAATTCTGCTTAAATCAGACAAAATTCTTGCTACTTATCTAAACTCAAAACATCTTAAAATGTTTTACCTATGAAGTATAAATTATAAACTACTTTATCATTAATAACAATTGAATACTCTAAAAAGTAAATGTAATATTACATCTGTATTACCAATTTAATCTAGACTTTTATATGGAAATTTCAATATGAAGGAAACAAATGTGAAACAATAAACCTGCATGTCTGAGTAATTAGACATTATTTTTTACCAAGATTAGAAATGACAAGGCAAAAGCTAGATTTTATTTTAATTAAAAAATTAATGAAATTTCAAGGGATTTCCCAGAGTCATACATACTCTTTTGACTAAACTACATGTGTAATTTCTTAATTTAAAGCCATAGTAGGAAAAAACAAGGAAAATCCTAATAAGCTTTGAAACCTATCAGTTAGTTTAGCATAATGCTCATCATACGGAGTTCATTCTCAGTAAAAGGAAACTGATAATCAACATATAAGATATATAATATGTAACTCAATAAAACAAGGTAAGTCTATAGGAAGTCTATGGAAATCTAAACATTAAACCAGAACATTCCTTTCCTGATCATCTTGGATATGTAGGAATTTACTTCATTTTGAAATCAAGATCAGAATTAATTCTTACATTCTGACCCTGCTGCTCTTAAGGCACGAAACTGTTGGCTTTTCCTCTGGAACAACCAAAAGGCACTTAATTGGGGAAAAAAAAAAAATTCGAAACAGAATAGGAATAATCTGTCAGAGTGGTTTCTTCATTCAGTGCAAGCAGCCTCATGTGAGCACCTTTTACTTTTCAGGAAATGCTGGATATAATGAAAGCAATATACGATATGATGGGTAAATGCACATATCCTGTCCTCAAGGAAGATGCTCCTAGACAACACGTCGAAACATTTTTCCAGGTAGGGATGCAAGTAGAAGTCAGAGACGGAGTGAAAAAGAGTCAATGTCCTAATGCTTGCAAAGTATCACAATAACTCAAAAGAATGCAAAAGGAAAAAAAAAAAAAAAAAACTTTTACTGAAAGGGATAAAACAATAGAATATTAACTATCATGCTAATTTCGTAATTTTGGTTTTGAATTTATTAGAATACTGATAACTACAGTTATTGACATTCACTATATCGTAAACAGAACACTAAAAAATCGCTATTTTGCATGTTTTTAATGTTTGTTTTCAATAAATTCTCAAAGAATCCTTATGGTTATAAATCCTTTTTAGTCTCAATTTATAGATGAGAAAACCAAGGCTCTGAAAGTGTCCACAAACTGCCTGAACTGTCCTAGCTAGTGGGCCAGATTTTATCTAGGGCAGCAATTCTAGTGGTCGGCCACATTGTCCTGAATAGGGAACAGGCTAACAGCAGTTGGCCATAGGATTCTTATCACTAAGAAAGGACTCGCTCATGCTCTGAAGCAGTTCTTCCCTAGGAAAAGAGGCTGATGGACTCTTCAACAGCTTCAGCTGTGAGGGTATCGAGGGAGGTTATCAAGGGAGGGTATCAAGGGAGAAGTCTGAACAGTTTTTTGTTCTTTTCTTCCTGAACAGAAAATGGACAAAAATAAAGATGGAGTTGTTACCATAGATGAGTTCATTGAAAGTTGCCAAAAAGTAAGTAATCCCTTTTGCTTTCATAATAGCCACACTAAGTAGAGTCAGCTAGCCACCATGAATGGAGCAAAATACAAAGCTGACCTAACCTTACCACTTGTACACAGCTGAGAGAAGCCCACCACTCTGAAAACCGGCATCAATGGATAATCCAATTAATTTACATTTAAAGAGTGCCTACCCTGAGGAGAGCTATGCAGAAATGCCTAAACATACAAAGTTACACATACACTGCATTTTTCTTTCCTAAATCCTAAATAAATAGAAAGTATTTATCACTGAGGGTTAAAACATGTGAAATTCGAACTGCTCTTTTCCACACTGAGCATATAACATATCATCTCCATAGACTGAGAATTCCAGTACAGCAAAGTATACATCACAGGCCAAGTGTACATCCAATTTCTGCGGAAAACACATTGCTTTAATGGATGAGCACCAGAAATGGCTTTTTGGTTGAACCAGTAATGGTCTTCAGTCATAAAAAATAAAGAGTGGAAAATTCAGAGGGGAAATCCAAAGTGGTTTTCCATCATCTGGTGGGAGATCAGTTTTAGCTTATCTATGATTATTTGACTTGATGCATGGGTAGAGCATTAAGAATTACTAAGATTAAGAATTAAGAATAAATACTTTAAAATAAATGTAGAGACAATGAGGTTTGTTGATACTTTAGCTTTTTTTATTTTCCCTTTACACTTTCCCTTTCTTGGTGTCTGCTTGCTTCCCAATCCATATTTTGATATAGTGGTCTTTAAGAGCATTAAATTGGTGCCATCAGTCTGCTGGGGCTGTTCCTTGGCTTCTAGCCCCAGAAGTCAGCACAAGGCCAGCTACTATTTACCATTACTATAAGCAGCTCACCAAGTGCCATTCACAATCTCCAAATGCCCCTATAATGCCCAGAGTTTATCCCCTGGTTTCTAAGGAATATGCTAAATTGAAAACAGCCACTGGCCAAAGGTGGCTCTCAAACAATTCCTTCTCTGGCAATTTTTAAAGGCTCCTAAAGGTCCTACAGATTTAGCCCTAACGGACCCAGAAAGAGGGGTGAAAGGACTATAGACAGGTCTCCAACCCCCAAACTCCAATCCTGAATGGAGTTGACTCTTAGCTCACACACAAACCCTGTTTCCTTCTACATGTACAAGTCTCTGTGACTTGGCCTACGATCTACCTGGAATTCCAAAATTTGCTTTTGCTCACTTATTTTTGGTCCTACCCTCAGCGCCTCTCTACTGTCCATTCTGGCATTCCAATTTGAGAAATATTCTCTATTAACAGAAGTAAGATTCAAATGAAATATTTAAAGCCTACAGATTCAACAAAATGTAAAATGGGCTCTCCATACTTATCTCTATGGAAAATGGAAAAGATGGTATTGATATTTGCAAACACTTAGTATTTGAGCTTTTGGCTTAAGCAGTAGTGGGGGAGGCAGTACTTAGAGGCAAAACAGTGTACTTTCCCTTGCAGAGATACTTAATTTAATCCCACTGTGCTTCTCCCTTACAGGATGAAAACATAATGCGCTCCATGCAGCTCTTTGAAAATGTGATTTAACTTGTCAAAAGCATCCTCGATCAAACAGACAAATGTGAATTATTCTACCACACTTAAAGTTGGAGCTACCACTCTTAGCATAGATTGCTCAGCTTTACACTGAGGCATATTATGCAAACAAGCTTTGTTTTAATATAAAGCAATTCCCAAAAGATTTGAGTTTTCCAGTTACAAATTTGCATCCTTTTCATAATGCCACTGAGTTCATGGGATGTTCTAAGTCATTTCATACCCTGTGACTATTCCAAATAGAATCTGGCATATAGTTTTATTGATTCTCTAGCCATGGGATTATTGAGCTTTCACATTATCAGTGATTTTAAAATATCAGTGGTTTTTGCTACTCAACCGGATGTATTCAGCCCCAGGATTTTAAATGGTTTTCTAAAATATTGGCATCTGCATTTAATTTCCAGAAATTAATTTTCATGTTTGTATGCTGTAATTCCATTTATACACTAAGTAAACAAGATTACTATAATTAAAAAACAAACACACAGTCCCAGTTTCTATGGATTTGCTGCCTTCTGTTAAAGATACTCATTTATCTGGCATTTTTTATAACATGAAACAAATTAGTTCATCACCAGATGTCAGCATATGCCTAATAAAGCTTATTTAATAAGCATTTCTTAATTTTTCATAGTACATATTATAACCAAGGCCTACATGATGTATATAATTTTGGATTTGTCCAGTCCTCCAGGTTGACTGTTTTCTATTGTGTCATTAAGTGGAGGTCCCAGAAGGTGTGGAACAAAGCAAATATGTTCATAGGCATATGCAAAGGGTCAAGATATCTGCCCTCTGGTATATGGTAATACTTAATGCCAAGTAATTCCCAACAGCATTGAAGGCCTATGCCATCCCCTTTCCCTTGACTCCTTCAAGGTACTTTTGTTTTACACGCCGCCATTCAGGGCCAAAGAGACCTGGACTACCCCAATGCCTACAGGGGACAGAGAGAAAGCAGAATTGAAACCATCAGTGAGTCCATTCTATCCAGAACTACCATACCAAAACGTCACTGAAAATGAAAATAAATGCTAAGCAGTTTACGTGGACTGTATTATGATTTTGCTCATCATAGAACTCCAACAATTCAGATTCTTTTTGCTGATCATAAGCCAAAATCGTAAAGTTGCCACAACACTACTAAGGATACAAACACCCTCCCTGTTTTGCAGAACTCTCATAAAGAACAAGAGGCTACAGTAGGAGGAAATCTGCAACTGTTTTTGCAACAATAAATCAGGTATCTATTCTGGTGTAGAGATAGGATGTTGAAAGCTGCCCTGCTATCACCAGTGTAGAAATTAAGAGTAGTACAATACATGTACACTGAAATTTGCCATCGCGTGTTTGTGTAAACTCAATGTGCACATTTTGTATTTCAAAAAAATAAAAGCAAATAAAATGTTTATAACTCTACTGGTCTATGTTATAGGCATTTATTTCAACAAATTTTATAAATACTAAATTAAAAATGTTGTGTTTTTCTTATGGCATTGGAGGACTGTACATATCTTTGCCTTATGGTGGCGCTAAGTACACTGAAGAAGAGTAAAAGCAGGTGCACGTTTTAGCTTAATATGATCTAAGGATGTGACAGGTGAGTAGAGACCCAAGAAGAGAATACCCCAGACAGGAGGACCAGGAAGCACAAGAGCTCTGAGGGATGAACAGGCATTTCTGCAATTAGGACTCTTCAGAAATTATTTGTACTCTTTTAAATTCCAACTGTGAGACTGTATCTGCAATGAGAATTGCAAATTCTCAGCGGTGCTGAGATATAATACGGCTGCTCCCCCAAATAAAAGAGTAACCCTAATCTCCATCCCTCCAAAAGTAAGTCTGCTTTGGATCTGGTGTGGCTACTCATGTCCCTATGGCCTCCCTTCTTTCCCTTAGGATGGAAAGTCTTATTCCTGTTTTCTCTTTCTCACTCTTATTCCTTTCTCTTGTAGAATGATCCAGGGTCAGCTCCTACAATGACATCACTGAGAACTATGCCTATAAAGTAGGTCTTAAAAGACTTGTCAATTAAATTAATTGTTAAACTTAAGCAAACACAACAAAATCACTGGGTACATTTAAGAGTTTTAAGATTTTAATTTCTGAGTATCTTCATGAAATGAGTATCTCCAGTATTTTCAGACTATGAGATACAAAAATAACATTTACTTAAATATAAACAACTCCTAAAGTTTAGATAGTTTTAAAGAGGTGTAATAAATAACATACTTACAAGAGAATTTACACATTTAAAAAAATGTCTTAAACTAGAATACTCTAGTATGAAATTTTTCCAAGTATCCTACACCATAAAATACATATTTACAGACAATAATTAACAGTGAATTCACAAATGTTTGTCCACTACTCTAAATTTCCATAGCCTTGATAAGCATAAAACCCAAGAAATGACAAAACGTCTAAAAATAAGTACACAGCTACAAACTGATTGTGAAAAGGGATATTATAAATAAAAGGCACTAGAAAATAAATACAAACACATCTACTATAAACCCAATAATGGTTGTTCATACCAAACTGTAAAATATGAAAAACCAACCCCTTAAAATTGTACTATTATAGAACTATTTTTAATAGTTTTCCATCATTGACCATTCTATTTTTGTTGTTGATGAATAACTTTTACTATGATTCAGTGGAACTGTATACTCATCTTAATGTAGTAAATAATGAACGGTGGCTGTGACTGACAGAAGAATAAACGGAAGTAAATCTGAAAAGGTTCCAAAGGTACCTATGGTCAGCACTTAACACCTGTCACCAGGGAGTAACAATATTTCTGTGGGCTCCCTTCTTCAACAGCATATGGAGCAATATGTTGGAATTTTAGATTTGATGATGATAAGGCTTCCCTGTCAACAGAAAAAAAATAGCTTCATTAGTATCACACAGGGTTCTCCTAATAGGTATTCCATCTATAGGAGCATGCCTAAAAAAGTATCCAAAACTCAAAACAAACAAAATGAAATGGGAACAGAATGATGGAATGAGAAGTGAACTTTTTTCTCAGTTGAGTAAAATATAGGTTGTCTCTTACCATTTAAAAAAAAAATGTATTTAACTAAGGAAGTAGTTAGGAACCATATCACCAGTATTTGAATCCACCTTCTGCCAGTCACTTCACTGTAAAATCTGGGGCTAATTATTTCTGAGCCTCAGTTTCTAGATCTTTAAAGGGTAATAACAACAAAAATTTCCCCTGAGAGCTGCAGTGAGGATTCAGTGAGTTTAATGTCCAAAAAGTACTCAACTGAGGGTCGCCTGCCTGGGTGGTACAGTCAGTTAAGCCTCTGCCTTCAGCTCGTCATGATCTCAGGGTCCTGGGATCAAGCCATCGTGGGGCTTCCTGCTCAGCGCAGAGCCTGCTTGTCCCTCTCCCTCTGCCCCTCGCCACCACTCATTCTCTTTCTCTCTCTCGAATAAAGAAATAAAATCTGTAAATAAATAAATAAATAAATAAATAACACCAAATTGAGTCCCCGACATGTAGTAACTTCCCACATGCTCAATCAAGATTGTGGTGTATAGAAGTATGGTGCCAAAATTTAGGATGAAAATTAAATCAAGGTAAGAGTGAAATGGCCGCTACTTAAGGCAGGTAGCAAACTGATCAGTTGTAAGAAAATGAGACTGTGCCTGGAGCAGGCTTTCCTGTCTCCCCAGAAGTTGAGTGTTTTCATCACTGGGGGACACACAAGCCCCAAGAAATGAGAAACTGCAATACTGAGAAGACTCTTTTAAAGACTCATCTCTAATATTTAAAGAAAAAAGAAAGATATATAGACATTTTAAGGATTTAGTAGGGAAAGAATGGCATTTACTAATTTCATGAAGGATTATAAAGCAAGCATGATGGTCATTAGGCCACCAGAAAGTGTGATCAATTATTATATTAATGGTATCTCAACAGAAAATCTGATCAAATATAATTATTAATTAAAATATTATGTAAGACTTTAGACAAACGAGAAAAGGTCTAAAGGAATACACAATACTTAACTTCATCATTTTTTAAAATTCTGTATTAGCAGGATTCCAAACTAATAAGAATAAGTGGCAGTAACAGGAACTCCTTGTTAGCTACCTCTGTGACCCTGGGCTGGTCATCTACATCCCTCTGTATTCCCCTTTCAAGTTTATTTACTTGAAAACTATTCCCTCCTCCGCATTCACCCTTGAAATCTAACACACTGGGCCAGTCCCTTTCCTCTTGCCCCATTCCACAGAATGTGTGAAAACCACCTAGGGAGAGTTTCAGATTGAAAGCTGTGCCATCAATAGTTAGCATCTGTTTACTTGCATTTCACAGGGGAGGAAATGACAAATTATTTTGCTTTCCAATTCTCAGAAGTGCATTTGCAAGCAAAAAGAATTTCCTTTTTGCTGAGAGACACTGGATTGGCTAGAAGATGGTTTTGTACATCTCAACAAGGTGTCTGAATGCTAATCCTCCACACACAACAAAGAAATCTAGGGACTTACTTCCTCCTCCTAAACTTTTTTCTAAGCATTTCTCATGAGAAGAATATAACCAATTTTAAGTGACTGGAATTGGTCAAATTAGGTAATTTAGACAAAGCTTAAACTAACACTTCTGCCATTTTAAAACTGTATATGGTCACACAAATTTTCTTTATAATTCCTTTAGAAAGTACCTCCAATGAAACTTAAGTTTTACAATACTAAAATAATCATATGCAACGTTATCATTCAGATCTGATTAAATGTAATCTCCAAAACAAGGTGGGATCACTGCTTTACAGAAATACTTCCAAGACTACATGATGTGAACACTTCTTTAAAAGATGACAATTCAATTAACCTACTTATTTGATACCACACAGAAAATGAGATTCCCTCCCTCCCATTCTTGCACATTCCTGCAAGTCAGAATACTCAGGAGTCATTCTTGCATGTATATGTGTGTGCACACGCATGTTCCAGAACATGTGCACTTCCAGACACGGTACTGCAGCCATTTGGGGATCATATTTCAATCCTTGGATGGGAAAACTGTCAATTTTTTAGACAGAAAAGATGGCAAATGAATGAAAAGTACATTCTTCAATGAGCTCTCTACATTAATCTGTTTCTTCTCTGAACGTTCCTATGGTCTAAGCAAAAACATCCAAAATAAAAAAAAAAAAAACCCTGCAAATCTGCACCACATGGAGTGCCATATAAGCACAGACAAAGTGTACAGGCCCAACATTTACACAGTCTGGTTGGGGTCCCAATGTTCAAAAACTATGATCCATGCAAGACAGAAACTCTGAGCTCTCATATGAAAATGCTGTGAACTCCACATGATTACTTATGGCTGAAATAATACATTATATATAGCCAATTTTGTAGTGTAAAAGTAAAAAAAAAAAAATATGACTTAAGGAATAATGTTTTACTTACATTTCCACCATGCTGTTCTAGCTTCTGTAATGCACTGGTGATTGGCTCTTTGAATTTCTTATCCCTCAGTCTCTTGGAAAGCTTTTAAAGTAAGATTGGGAGAATAAAATGATTTGAAAATCAACAATATTTACCACATGCTTAAGTAAACTTCACTAAAGAGTATGCTAACTGGAAATAAAACCACTGAGACCTTACTGTATAGAAGTACTCAAACACCATTTCATTTGTTTTAGACTCCAAGGCTTCTTTCAGAAAATATCTCATTGCAATTTATACATAACAGACCCATTACATTTGTTAAAAGAGAATTCACATTATTTCAAATCATGTGAATCCTATAAAATCTGGTACAGTATGGTATCCAGAGTAAGTTTTCTATGAAACTACATACTTTTCCATTTTGTATTTTGCAAGAGCATTTGGAGGACCATGATGGAAAGCTAAACCTCTTAAAACACATGTTTCCTACAGTGTAAGAAAGGGAAGAGACAAAAAGGAGAGAGCATTCACATGAATGACTCTCTAACAGTTATAGTTAGGACATTCAGACTACAAACCACAAGACCACCCGCCCCTAGACATGGCTTGAATGGGCTTCAGATAGAAAGGTGGAAGTCTGACTGAAAAGGGAGAGCACAAGGCAAGGGAGGATAGAATCATAAGAACAAAGAGGAAAAAACAGCAATTCAGATCATCAGGCACAACCTATAATAGTGTTCTCCCACCAAATGTCTGAATTACTCTACTCACCCAAAGACCTAAACATTTCAGCCTAGAGCAGGACTTGATCATGGCTCCACTTTCTGGGAATACAAATGAAACCCACGCAGGAAGTAGTCAGTGATCAAATACTTATAAGGGCCTGCCCTAGACTTGGTTTCTGGTTGTTCCTCTTCACGTGGATGGAAGAAACCCAAGACTGCCTCCCATCACTGAGCACTGAGTTAGAAGCCCTTCTTCAGTCAGGTCAATGAAGATGAGGAAGGGTCAGAATATTCCCCAAAAGATAAAAATGTGGGAAAAGCTACTCTAAATGAGAGGACAGATAGCCCTAGGGATGGACAAGAAAAAGTGCCTCTTGGGGTACCTCGGGGGCTCGGTCAATTGGGCTTCCAACTCTTGAACTCACCTCAGGTCTTGATCTCAGGGTCATGAGTTCAAGCCCCTCACTGGGCTCCATGCCCAGCATGGATTAAAAAAAGAAAAGAAAAGAAAAAGAAAAAGAAAAAGTGCCCCCTTGCAAAATCAGATCTTTGGTTTGCTTTCTGCAGACCCCAGTACCCAGGAGCAATGGCTTATGGGCAGATCCATGAAGCACTACCTCCAGAATCATCTGATATCCTTACTCAAAAAGTATAGATTCTAGGGTCCTACACTATACTTACTTAACCAGAATCTCTGGGCAAAGGCCTTGGTTCTGCATTTTTATCAAGATTTATTTCCTCTTTCCCCCAGGGTCAGTGGAGGTCTGAACTGAAGCTAAGAAAGGATGGGATTTGTTTTGCCTATGAATAAAATGAGTTGTATATGGGCTCAGTAACTGGTTTTGAAATTCTTTTTCTAGTCAAGGAAACCCTTCAAATAACATCTAATGCAGAGGTCTATAAACAAAAATATATGTTAATCAAAATGGAGTCTTTCTGGCTAACAGGGGTTAAGTGAGGTAAGGAAGGAGCACCAAAGCACCTCAATAGATTGTCAGGGGTGCCCGTCTCTTGGTGGTGTGCACTAACAGACCAAGATTTAAACCCACATGGCCTATTTCAGAGGTTCTCTCCTCTATGGAATACCACAGGCATGTGAATGCCCGTGTGTTATCCAGACCTTCCCAGAGTGCTAACACTCCAGAAGGTGAAAGTCCCCTTTAAGTCAGTCCAGTATAAGAAAGAGCAGGGTTCTGGGGAGGAATGTGAGTGACCAAACATTAATGCTACTGGCCCAGAAAAATTAAATAAAGAAACTTACATAGTTCAGTTGTTAATCTGGCCTTTTTCTTTCTGCCCTGATGGGTGGGACTGGAATGCTATTTAGGAGTATTTAGGAAGTGAAGGTTCAGGGCCTTGCTCAACTTCGAGTGCAGGAAAGGATCCAGTGTGATTCCTTTTCTTGTATATTACATTCCCTTCACCTCACTCCAACTTTCTCAGTAGATGTCCTTGCTACTTATTTCTCCAAAAAAAACCAGAAACCAATCTCCATAAGGGCAGAGAGCATATCGTTTTTTATTCAGCATTATAGTCTAAGTGCCTATAGCATAATAATTGGCACAAAATGGGGGCCAGAGAGCAACAGATTTGTTAAAATATTGCTTGTCTGACTGGAGCAATCAATCTAAAATGAGCCATTTTATTTGTTAGGGTGAATTTCCTGTGTTTATTCAGGGACAACCTGCTGATCTAAACATTATAAGCAAAAACCTGCCAGGATTTTCTTCCTTCGTTCCCAAGGCTTCCCACATATTAAAGTTTCAGAGTCCATTCCCACTGTGTCTTCTCCCTATCAAGCACCTGGTGCTGGTGGGAATTCATCTCCCACCATTCCTAGCCTCAGCATAGCAGTCCTGATAGATTCACTATCATCCCTACTTTCCACAGGCTTGGGCCAAATGTTCCTGGAATGTATTAGTCTCTGTAGAGTAAGAAGTTAAACATACAGTTCTAGGATCTCTCAGATAAATGGGTCTAGGAAAAAAAAACAGTGTAACTATGATCAAAATACATGCCTCAACTCTGAACTACAGAAAGATGAACACAGAAATGCTGGCTGTGGGTTATTCCAGCAAGGACTTTCAATGGTTTATCAGTGTGTGCAGTAAAGGATTAACTCTGCCTAAAGAAAGGACTGGCTCTTCTCCCTGGCTCCTAGATGGAAACCCTAAGCCCTTGGTATAACCTGCCAGGTAAGAGTATCTTTGTTTCCCGGGGGACCTTGGGCCACAGGAATCAACTCAACTTCTGGAGAGGCTGGAGACTAAGGTCAGCCATGCAAACAGCCAGTCATGCTGGCATGGTAGGCCCCTAACATGAACATGCATGCCTGGAAGCCACACTGAGGTGAGTTTCTCAGGATGGCAATACTCCTGTGTGTTGCCACATATCCTTACTGGAAAAAGCCAGCACTGTCCACACAACTCTCCTGGGAGGAAGGACAAGTGGATGCTCCACACTTGGTCCCTCCTGGGCTCTGCTCTATGCACCTCCTTCCTTCACTGATTTTAACTGGTATTCCTTCACTGTAATAAACTGAAAGACTATATAACAGCTTTTCTGAGTCTCATGAGTCCTTCTAGCAACCTAAGGGTTGTCTTGGGGACTTGCTGAACTGTCCAGTATCCAAGTGTGTACTTGTCCTCAGGATTAAATTACACTTAGGAAAAAAAGTCTCATCCTGAATATTATTTACAGACTCACTAAAAAACTTACAGGGAAAAACAAAGATGAAAAACATGGCTGTGGCAATGCACAATCACAGATATATACCCCTATAGGAGGTATCCTTATAATTCATGGCTAATCAATATGGGCATAATATCATTGTACCGTCCATTAATTTTTGTCCATTCAGCTTCTGCTTGCTTGTTCTTATAACCCTGAGTTCTGCTCATATAAGTGCTTTCCATTAAAAAAAATTAAAGAGAATACTGTACATTTGTAAAATATTTTACAAACTACTAGATCTGATCTATATTTTTTTTAAAGAATGATGGATTTTTTTTAAAGATTTCTGAATCAGTTAATGATTAATCTGAAGCCACTGAATCATGATAAGATATAGACATGGCATGATACACCATTCACAACCACTCTCTCATCTTTTCAATACTTACACTTGTAAGCAGATGTTTCAGATGGTCATTTAGAGAAGGACCAACGACTACACTCAGCTGCACGAGAGCATTCAGTCCTCTTGCAAACACTTCATCATCCATGTGGACCTGTGGGGTTAGTTGGGACAGGAGAGGAAAAAGGAGAAAAGGAAAGTTAGAGAAAAAGAAAGGTCAAACCGGAAAAAAGTAAGATTGAACATTCAAAAGCAGAAGATAAGCAACTAAACCCAGAACCAACCTTTAATGCTGTACCATCTGGAAGCAAAAAAAATAAATAAATAAATTTCCAGCTTGACTGAAACACTAACTGAACCATATCGCAGCATGCAGCAAGACTGATGTGACTTTTATTACTTTCTCCAATTACTCCAAATGTACGAACTTCTTTCATATACCCTCTAAAGGCGTCTTCAAATAAGTAATCATTTGTCCCTGAATAAGTGTGGCCTAATTTTGCACATGCACCAAAATCACAGGTAAAGGACCAATATGCATATAATTTAAAAGAAAAAAGACATAAAGTAATCTAAATGTACCACAGGAAGTCCAAAGGAATAGAAGATACCAGAGCTGCCTTTAGCACAGGAATCAGTCTTGGAAGCAAAGGTACAGCTTTCTCAGGAGCTCCTTGGACCAACAGCAATTCTCTAAAACCCTCCTTTGACACAAAGGTGTACGGATGTTTAGTCTCCCTCAAACCCTGTCAAAGACAAAACACAGAAACAAACAAGACACAAAACTGAATCCTCACTAGTCTAAATGAAAATAAAGTTTTATTATGGTTTTCCTAATCATGATTTATAACTTCGATAATTATAATTTCAATTACACTCAGAAATTGTGGAACAAAGGACATACATGAGACAGGAAGAATTTCTACCCACAGCAAGGAAGAAAAATGTTTTAAAAATCAAAGGAAGTAGGATTGACTGGAAGTGGGGAAAATTATTATGTAAATATGTTATAGTAAATATATTTTGTATAGTATATTAATATATATGTATAGTAAATACATTAAAAAATCAAAGGAAAGGAAAAAGGGAAGGAAAAGCAAAGGAAAAAGGAAATAAGAAAGAGAAAGGAAGGAGGGAAGGAAAGGTAAATAAATAAAAGAAAAAAAGAAAAAGACACCCTCACTAAGATACTAAAAAACATTTTGTATATACTCCCAAATACTGCCTGAAAGCATCTAAAATGCTGGTTTATAACCACCATTTTAGGGACATAATTATTGGACCTCCTACCTTTACAGTGACTTTACAACTTGTTAAATGAGTTTCTAAAATATTGTTCCCTTCATATTTAAATATTTTACATTAAGGTATTTTTAAAACATCATTTCCTAGGTTCAAAAACCAATGTAAGATTATAAATGTCATTTTTTTACTTTGGGATGTGAAATAAAAATATGAAAAAAAACCATATAATCTCTTTCACCCTAAATGCATCAGCAACTACTAGATAGTACTCTTTCATGATTTAACCCCTCACTCTGAGTCAAGATAGAAGGGCCATCTGGTTTTCTGTAAAAACATCAAACAAAAAAGCAATAGCAATACTCCCTCAGTTGGACTTCTTATTGTCTGTGAATAAATATAACTAGCTGCAAAGTCATGCCTAAAAATAGTAATTTTCAACGAATTTGCCCTCTAAACCAAACTATCTGCTTCCAAACAGTGATCAAACATTTCCTTTCCTGGATGCTTTTGAAAGCTGTGCAGCCAAGCACACCAGCACCACTTTGCACCTTAAGAGTTCTAGCATCTTAAGAGTGCCCCGATCCCATTCATTTTAGAGATGAGGAATCAGGTCAAGAGGTGAAGTGGATTTCCATAGTGGTGGTCCTGTCAGTACTTCCCCATTATTAAATGAGTAGAGGGGAAGTCTAACAATCTACCCAACACAGAAATAAAGGCAATGGTGTTTGGAAAATAAGTATTTAAAGGACTGACTTTATGTGATCTCCACTAAACACAGACTCCCTGTAGGGACTCCCCAAATTAAAGTATTCCCTTCCCATTATGATTAGCTGGAGCACATTTTCAAAGGTGTTACTATAGTACTGATTCATCTAAAGAACGGTTACCATATACAAAAAGTTTAAAATTCTTAAAAGAACAAATGAAACACTGATACATTTTAAGTTTTAATTTTTTTTAATTTTTAAAAGATTTTATTTATTTATTTGACAGACAGAGATCACAAGTAGGCAGAGAGGCAGGCAGAGAGAGAGGGGGAATCAGGCTCCCCGCCGAGCAGAGAGCCTGATGCGGGGCTCGATCCCAGGACCCTGGGATCATGACCTGAGCTGAAGGCAAAGGCTTTAACCCACTGCACCACCCAGGCGTCCCACATTTTAAGTTTTTAATACCAAGTTTAAAAGACTTTGATCAAAACTTAATTTCAAAACAGGCTACCCATAAAAATACACCGCTATCATACCAAAATATGAGGGAGAGGAGATGCAACATGGGGGGTTAATGTGGTAGGAGAAGAGTAAATGAAACAAGTTGGGATTGGGAGGGAGACAAACCATAAGTGACTCTTAATCTCACAAAACAAACTGAGGGTTGCTGGGCAGAGGGGGGTTGGGAGAGGGGGGAGGTTATGGACATTGGGTAGGGTATGTGCTATGGTGAGTGCTGTGAAGTTTGTAAACGTGGAGATTCGCAGACCTGTACCCCTGGGGGAAAATATATATATATATATATATAATTTATATATATATATATAAATTATATATATATTTATAAAAAATAAAATTATTAAAAAAATAATAATTTTGCAATAAATTTTAAAAAACAAAGACAACAAAAATGATCCTTAACTCTTAAAAAAGACCAGTATCTATAACTTAAATACAAAACAACAGGTTAATTCATTTCTCAACTTGTGACTCTAACAAAAGGAATAAATTTTACAGAAGAGATCATTAATTCACCTCAAGCTAATACTCTGCCAACTTTTTCCTGATATAAAATGTTAAATAATATAAAGGAATTGATCAGAAGTTTTCCTAAAATCCTCTATTAAAAAATGATCTCCGTGATATTCTACTTAAAATGTACAGGTAGACAAAAGCCCAGAGACTTCTCCAAAAGGATGAAATAAAATCAGTTCCCTATGAAACATATGCTCACATTAAACATGACTGGTTGTATAGATCACTTGTTATCTGATGTTAAATTGTTGATGTGAAATTGTTGATGTTCTACTGAAATGACTAATTCCCTATGACTTTAAGTACTTTTATTTTTGGAATTAAGTATGAATATTTCATCCACTTATCTACAAAATCCTCTGTAGATTAAGTTGTTAATAAACCTAGGGCGCCTGGGTGGCTCAGTGGGTTAAAGCCTCTGCCTTCCGCTCAGGTCATGATCCCAGGGTCCTGGGATGGAGCCCTGCATCAGGCTCTTTGCTCAGTGGGGAGCCTGCTTCCTCCTCTCTCTCTGCCTGCCTCTTTGCCTCCTTGTGATTTCTATCTGTCAAATAAATAAATAAATCTTAAAAAAAAAAGTTGTTTATAAACCTGATTAATCAGTTTCTAATAAACATATATTGATCATAACTAATTCCTAAGGGAGTGTGGTATTTTAATGACTATTGCTTGACTCTTATTTCCAGAGCAAAGAATAAGATTTACTGATGCATTACAAAATAATACTTAATATGATTGTTAAAGTTTTTTTTTCCATAAACATTCAGGAGAAATGGAATATACATTTACCTCAGCTAAAGTAATAAGAAGAGGATCAAATGGAAGATTTTCAGGAGGACATTCCCACTGTAATCTGTGCTTCACTGAACCATGGACCAATCTAAAATAACAAACATCAGTGAACATAACATGGGCAACGTAATTATATCCTAAACAGTAATTATCTAACATATTCATATCCTTTCTATAACATAACCATACTAGAACTATTCTGTAACATGCAGGAATACCATAGCTTGAAATGATATTACAAAGATATCTTACGCAACAATGTCTATAATCCCACAAACTCCTACTCTTCTGGTAAAATTATTTGATGGCAAAACTAAACTCCACATTTGTTAAGCCTACAGTTTCAGAACTCAAGCATGCTGCTGTTTGTGAGTCTTAATACAAATGCTACACTTGACATGTTTCAGTCATAATTATAACAAAAAAGATAACCTACAGATGTGCAAACAAAGAAAGGTGATAATGAGAAATAATAACTTGTTTCATATGGAACAGTATTTTTCAGATATGTATCACTTAATCCTAATGATCTGTAGACAAGGCAGATTTAGCCCTGCTAAATAGAAGAAAACTGAGGGCAGGAGGTTAAGTAGCCCACACCAGGTTACAAAGTGGTAGCCCCTTCAATTAGTCACTGCTGTTTTGTTTTGTTTTAAACAACATTTACTGAGACATAACCAACATTCAACAGGGGCGCCTCTGTGGCTCAGTGGGTTAAGTGCCTGCCTTTGGCTCAGTCATTATCTTGGGGTCCTAGGATCAAGCCCCTTGTTAGGCTCCCTGCTTGCTTAATGGGGAGGCTACTTATCCTTCTGCCTCTGCTTCCCCCAGTTGTGCTCACTCTCTCTCTCAAATAAATAAAATCTTAAAAAAAAACCCAACATTCAAAAAACTGCACATGGTTATAAAGTATAAAATTTTATATGTTTTGATGTGTGAATACATCAATGAGCTATCATAATTATGACAGTGAACTTACACATCACCTTCAAATGTTTCCCTTTTGTTCTTCTCAACTTCTTGACACCTTCTTTAGCATTATTTTCTTCATATCAAGAGAACTTGGTAACATTTTTACTATTTTAGCAACCATAATTGCATGGAGTGAGAAAGGGAGGTATAAGAACCTTAAAATACAGTCTCAACTCAGAATGTAAAAAAAAAAATACTAACAATAAAATGAAGAATGTGAGCTTATGTATCCAAATCTGAAGATACCACTAAAAACTGTATTTCTTGAATTTTAGACTACAGAAAGAATGTTGTGATTATTCTTTTTACAATGAAAATAATATTTTCCATCATCTAGAACAGGCTAAAACTGGATATACTTATAAGAAATAAATGTTTCTTGATAGTGAAATCTTAAAATGGTATCACTCTATTAGTAATTATATTGTCTTCTTTAGAACAGTTCTGATGTCTATCCCAAAAGGTAGCAAGTATCGAAACTGAGAAAAAATACCTGTATGTACTCATTAAAAAATATAATTTCAATAATTTAAAAAATTTTTGAAATATCATTTCAAAAAATAATGAAACAGTTTTGTTAAATTCTCAATTTTCAATTTACAAACAAAATAGGACTATTTATTTGCAACTTGCCCAAGCCTATGAAGGCTTATATTGTTTCAGAAACTGGTTCATTCAATTTCTTAAATTATAGATCTATTGGTAATTCTATTTTGGAATTAAAATGATCTTCTTCAACAATATCCCACGATCTATACCAGTTCAACAACCAAAGCCTGAATAAAGTACCTTTATTTCAACCTCCCTAGTAAATAAAGATTTCAATACATTTAAACTAAACACTGTTATCAATTTTACTCAATTATTTTGAATAATATGGTCAGTTATAACCTGTATTGATTTTACCTGCAAGGAATCCCTCCCTTAGAGTAAATGGCTGCAAATGCAGAAGGAGCTCGTGATTGTTCACCAAACTGAAATAAAAAATGAAAAGAATATGATAAATATACTACCAACTCCACTTTGTGATGATACCTAATCAACTTTAATCCTATTGAGGTCAGGGGCAAATGGACATCCTGGCTTTCAACCCATGACACTGGTATCAAGTGCATCAATCTGCTCAGCAACAAAACTGAGGAAAATTATCAACCCCTCAGTACAGGAACCCCAACCACGTGTTCTCTACTTAACTTATACCCCTAACTTGTTTCGGGAGGCTTGAAGGAAGCTGGAATTACATGTATAATAAATATAATACAGATAAATACTATTAAGAATGAACATCACAAATAAATATAGTAAAGGTAATACATTTTTCTACTATCTGCCACTGTGTTCTTTCAAGGTGAGGGGTCCATGGAGAAGGAGAGGTAAGTATAGAGAAAGCAGATTTGTTTTCAGCCTCCAACACATCTCCTACTTGTCCTCCAGGCAAATGTGGATGTCTGGACGGTCAGAGAACCTGTAATTTCTCCAAACTCATTTTACGCTTCTATAAAAGAGAAAGGCTTAGGATGGAAAGGGGTGATAGAGCTGAAGAGAGAACAGGGCTCTCACAAACACATGCCTGGATGTGTCTGCTTAGATACAGAACTTCACAACTTTCCGTTTGTCTATGTATTATTACCTTAAGAATACATTAAGTCTGCATTCCCAAAGACCATGTAAGAAGCGATTGATCACAACTGAATAATCACAGCATACATAATTTCAACATAGTCGATCAGAGACACAAATAATTTAGGCACGAAAAGTAAATATCACATGGTACTTGAACATAATCAAATGAAATACAGTTGTCTAAACTACAAAGTACAAACTTACTCATCTATTTTAAAAATGTAACTAGCTAAAAAATCTTTAAAAATACATGCAGTGATTAAAAAATACATTTAAGGGCATAAGTTTAGAATTAACTCTTTTTCCTCTGGAAAAGCACATGTTTGAAGTTAAAACATACAGATGAAAATTTCATTAGCATATAATATTATAATAAGAGATGCATTTATAAACTTCAATCCACATTCTGCATAATTCAAAGAAATTCTAATATTTCATTCATCTAACTAAAATTCCTAATAAGAAAAATGTGTTTTTAAAACTGTTTTTGGGGTGCCTGGCTGGCTCAGTGGGTTAAAGCCTCTGTTTCAGCTCAGGTCATGGTCCTTGGGTCCTGGGATCGAGCCCCACATCAGGCTCTCTGCTTAGTGGGGAGCCTGCTTCCCGGCCCCCACCGCCTGCCTCTCTGCCTACTTGTGATCTCTGTCTGTCAAATAAATAAATAAAATCTTAAAAAAAAAAAAAAAACTGTTTTCAAGTAATCATATTAGATAGGGAAAGCTGAAAAAATATTCTTCTACTGGGGGAAAAATTAAGACAACTTAGGGCTATAGATACTTTCTTTTAGTTCTAGCAACTATTAGCAAATGATCTTACTTTTTGAACCTATAGATCACATAAATAATCCCACCCACCAAGACAAAATTTCTGATTGAAATTCTAAGCAATTCCTTTTCTTTTCTTTTTAACTCATTTTAGATATAATCATATTTTCATCTTCCAGGTCCCACATTATCAAAAATTTTTTTTACCAATGGCTTCGTTTTGTCAATTTTTACCCAATTTTACCAAAATTCTATTACCACACAAAAAAACTGTTGTCCCTTCAATTTTTAACCATATCACTACAGACCATATTTCAACTCTAAAATAATCAACCTTATTAAACACACCCCACTATACTCAGTTAAGAAATTTTTAAAAACTTTTGATTCAAGTGAAATACTCAAAACTTACACACATTTAAGTGCATAAATTATAGGTATGCAGACCAGTGAATTCTCCAAAATACTGGTGTAACAACACTCAGGTGTGGAACACCTGAATGTTACCAGCACCCTAGAAACCTCCTCAGCACCTCTTCCCAATCCCTAACTACCTTTTTCTCCAGTGGTGAACTCTATCCTAACTTCTAACTGACTTACTTTGGATTGGTAGCTTGTACGGATCTTAGACATTGTCTTGTATAATATACTGTCTTCTCAGGTCAAATCATTTATTTCTCAAAATTTTCCTTCATTTTTAATAAGATTTAAAATTAGGGCTACTTATATTACTACTTTAAAAAGTTCTTTAAAGAGAGGAAGAAGACTCAAGTATCACCATCAATTCTCTCAACTAAACACAGGAAAAAGAAGCAAGAACAAGAAGAGAGCAGGGAATTCTTCAGGAATTCAACTTGACACTGCAAATTACAGAAAGAAGGAAATACATATGCCTATACTACTTTCCATTTGTAAAGTCAGACAATCTCCTTCTGCCCTTGGCCAATTCATTGTATCCTTGCTGTATTTTACCTGCCATCTAAGTCAGTGTCTCAGCCACTCTCATAATCCCTTTTGAAGGCTGAAACCATGATCATCTTACCCTATGCAAGGCTGGGCAGACACCACCTGGTTTTGTAGCACAGGTGTGCTCGCTTTTTGGATAATTCACTGATCTACACGTTTATAATTATTCACTTTCATGTGCATAAATCTCATGTTTCTTAAATCTGATTAAATTGCAGTCAGAAGGCAAAGGAGGCTAATACTATAGTTGGGATTTCTGGGGGAGCTAATTTATAGATCATAGCAAAATGGTCCGAGATGTTTATGCAACTTGAAGCAGGTAATTCATCCTATGTCAACTGAATACAAGTTTATTCATTGATGTTAGGAAGTAACAGAACTATATTAAATAAAAATAAAGCTGATGTGCAATTTACTTTATACTCTAGTACACTCATCATCCATGAATATGACAGTATATACCATAACTGGTTATTCTCTACACCTTCTCACTTCCATACATCATTTCCATTCTTCATCATGATTACCATATGCCTTTTGTCACTAGCTTAAATGTAAGCAAAAAAAAAAAAAATTTACAAACAAAAGGAACTTGGGACAGCATTCAGAATGGTTCAACAGTTTGCTAAATGTCTATTACTTTGAAAAATCTGCTGAGTCAGGAATGTCTTTTGTACCTACTGGGTTAATGGTCTTAGGGTTAAGTTTATCACTTGGTCGAGGATGAACTTTTCTTGCAGTCTCTGGAGAACTGGTTAAAGATGAGGAGTTGCTTTGTTGAACTGTAGTCCTATGTTTTATTTGTATGCTTGATGATGTCCTTTGATCACAGCTACCTGGAAAAAACAGAAGATCAACAAAAAAAGAGGTAAAAGAGATAAAGCTCACTCTTATGCATCTGTATAACAATGTCTATTAACAAAATTCACCTTTTCATTTAAAAAGCAATGTTCTGTACCTGCCTTTCTGTTTCTCAACTGTACAACTCCATGGCACTCTGATTTCTGCATTGCTTCCCTTTTATTCCTGCAGTCAAATGAGACTTGATTTCAGAATTTTGGGAATGAGGGATTCATTGAGAACGTAAGACCAACCCAAAACAGAGTAGAAAATACAATAAAAGAGATACAAAAAGGGTATAGCATGGAACAAAATACCAGAAAGACTAATGAGAAAATATGAAATTATATGAATGTCAATAACTATCAATAATAGCAAATGGAAAACAATCTGTAAGAAAATAAGATATATAAAAATAAACTTCTTTTCCATTCATACTGTCAAAATATGCTTTTAGAAACTCAACTGCAAACTTCTGGCTATATTCAGAAAATATGGACTAGATACCTGAAAGGAGAAAGTGGTTGGCACATCCCCTAGTATCTCTATCTTCTCTGGCCTCTGTATTTCCAAAGTTCCAAATGCTAACATCGGCATATCAAGTCCTGTTTTTCAAGGGACAAAACGAACTCTCCTACTCAGTACATTACAAGCTCCTTAAACTGAAGGTAACCAAAACTAAGGTTATCACACTGAAGTTATGGACCCCTTGCTAATTCAAGGTACCACCAATTTTCTGGTCCCTCATGATGAAAAACTTAACATCTTCTTTCCCTATTCTTTCCCTTCACTTCCCACACTCAACTCTACAGATGTGATCAATGTGGTGTGATAAGATAGAAGGAGCTATTGGCTCAGACTGGGGTCTGTATCCTCATCTCCACCAATTACCAGGTTTATGAATTTAGGTAGATTATTTAATCTTCCTAAAACTCGATTTCCAGACCTATTAAAAGGGGAGAATAATACAAACCTATAAAGGTTGTTACTGAGGATAAATAAGGTAATATATCAGTTGCTTAACCAACCAGTGATGGTTCATTGTTCCCTCTTCCTCACTTTCCTCTTTTCTACTAACAGGAGGACTCTAGTTCGCAGTGATAATTTCCTGCCTAGTCAGATTACTTCTAAATTTTCATCTCTACCAAGGAACTCTCCAACACATGCACCCAAATTCATATACCCAATTGCTTGCTGGTATTTCTAGGTTTAGCTCCAATCCCAAGCTGTACACCACCTTTCCTGATCTTCTCTGTTTCTTGGCACTCTGATTCCTTGGCACTCTGATTCCCACACTGTTTCCTGCTTATTGCTACTTGATTACTCCATTCCCTTACTTGTATAGCACTCCAGTCATTCTTCCACTAGAGCATTTCCCACCTTAAGCTTTTGTTATTAACTACACTGTAGGATAGTCATTAAGGTAACACAGGTGAAGCCTTCCTCCACTAAAATGAACGCTTTTCAAATATTTGGGGACAGACTCAACTCCTTAGTTTTCTCTTCTTCAGGATAAACACTGACGCTTTTTCAAGTGATTCCTCATGAGATGATTTTCATCTACTTAACAAATTAGAAATCTTCACAAGGACAAAACTCCACATAATTCAGTCCCAAAATATTTCAAACGTGATGTGACCATTTTGAAGTGCCTTGGAAGGATAAATTAAATGTAGGATTGTTTCATACACAGAATAATTTAAATTGCAATTTTCTTGATTTAATATAGTCACCTAATTTTCTCATCCTACTACTAGCAGATGACTTACCTCTCAATATCATACTTCACATTCATTCCCAAGGCATTTTTCACAATTATGGTAATCAATGCCTCACTGAATTTTTCAGATACTACTTTAAGATAAGGTAAGGCAGGCTTTAAATATGTTGACCTAACACTGCACTTCAGTGAAAATTCAGAGAGAATCTACTATCATATCAAGTTTCTGTTTTGAGAAGGTCCTGATAGGGATAGGAATAGTATGATCTAGAAATAAATAAATCTCTGTCTCTGCTTCTTCGACTCTGTAATTGGGGGTAATTAAAGTAACTACTTTTAATGTTGGTGAAGACTAATAAATTAATATTCCTTTTGATCATAAATTTTAATAACTGTCATAGCTGAAAAGAAGCACAAAGATCCTACCCAGAAATATAAGAAAAGCAGAGCTGGCCTCAACAAATCATGGTGTACATTTTCCAACACTACCTACCAAACCTACAGAAGTTTTTGTTGGAACAAGAAACTTCTACCTTCCTTTATGTAAAAAAGATGATCCTGAGAGGTACTAGTAGGAAGGTGCTACATTATATTTTGAATGAGCTCAAAAAGTCATGGAAACTCTTCATTTAAAAAACTTTTATAAAACATGCCAGAAAACTGAGCTCCCAAAGGTTTTATGCATACAGGACAGTTTTTACGTGTAATACACTTACATAACTTCCAGCAATAACATCAAAACACACATATTCAATGCAAACACTTCTATATCTACTTTCAAAAACTCTGTTTAGAGAGCTTCTTTCCAAAAAACAAATATTTTTCACTTATTGTTAGAAGTATCACCCTTTACCTTACAAATTAAGTATTCTCAAAATATTAATATATTAAAAATAATATCCATCTGGCAGAAGTGCCTAGGTCGCTCAGTTAAGCATCCAACTCTTGATTTCTGCTCCAGGTCCTGAGATTGAGCCCCCAAGACTGGCTCCATGCTCAACAGAGAGTCTGATAGAGATTCTATAACCCCACCCCTCACATTCTCACTCTAAAATAAAGTATTTAAAAAATATATCCATCTGGGAGCATACCACTGACAAGACTGGTACATGAGTTGTCTGTAGAAGAAAACTGCTTAATTTATCTTACACTTAACTCTCTTGAGTGCTTTTCCATTAACACATCGAGGGTGGTGTAAAGAGGTAATAATGGTGAGAGGAAGTGAAAAGGTAACAACTATTTTGTGCTACAAATATTATCAGTCACTGCTCATTCTTTTACAAAACAATACAAAGACTCTAAATAAGCACTAGAATCCACCTGACCCAAACATCTAAACGATGTCATAATATCCGAGAGCAAGCAGACCAAGCAAGATCCACAGTGGAACCCTTACTTTCCCTTAGTTTCCTTAGGTACTGCAGCCCATCTGCTCATCTGAAAGAGGCTGTGGATATCTGTGTCAATGACAGGAAAGCAATCTTTCGTTTCATTATTTTGGATAGGTCACATACTCTATTTCCTTCCCCATATGCATTTTCTTCCTGCACCACGCTCTGAGACCACTACACAACACGGCTTGCTAAATTATCAGGGGGCAGAAGCCACGTTTCTTCCTACTTTCTCATCCGTTGTTTAGAAAGTTCCCAAAGTGTAAGAGGCACCCCACTAAAGAAGCCATGCTCCATCTCTAGGGCTCCTTCAAATTCTAAAGTGCAGCGAAAGAGCCCAGTATCCACCCATTTCGATTCCTTTTTACCATAAAGTAAATCCAAGGGGACAGCACTGAGTCTTAAAATCTGCTTTCCATTTTTCTACCCTCTTCCCCTCCAATACCATACATTTCCAAATATTAAAGAATAATTCAAGGCCAGGCTGCTATCAAAGTTAAAAAATAAGCGACATGTATTGGGGCGGGGGGACAACAACAAAAAAGGGTTTTTTTGTTTTGTTTTTTAAGGAATAGGAGGAGGGGGTGGTGGTAGACGGCCGGTTTTCCATTAAGGCCAACGAGGGCTACTCTCCTTTCCTCTGGAAAGGAAGGGTGCGCTCTCCGAGGCTCAGCAGCTCCAAGGTCCTTGGCAACGGAGTCCGGCGGCCTTAGCAACAAGCCAGGGAGAAAGTCGGCAGGGCCGTCACAGCGAGGGCGGCACCGAGTAATTCCCGCAGCCCTGGCCCGGGGCACCCACAACCTGTCCCACCGCGCCTCTCTTCCCACGGCGACCCGCACACCAGCAGCCACGCCGGGTGGGACTTTTGCTCGGTGCCCTCTCCCAACTTCCCCACTCCGTTCACCTGCGGCCGCGATTCGGGGAAAGTAAGGCTTCGCGCGGTCCCCGGATCTGGCGGCGCTAGGTAGTGACGTCAGACGCATGCCGCGCCCTCGAAGCCTCTGGCGGCGAGGCTGCTAAGGGGCGGGGTTGAAGAGGGTTGCCCTGGCAACGAGGGCCGGGAGTTGAAAAGGGTAGCTTCCAGTAGCGAGGCGTGTGTGGTGACAAAGGGGCACCTAGTGGAGGGTCTTTAGGAACTGATGAGAAGTCCGGGGAGCAGAGGAGAGCACAGACTCCGAGTTCCTAGCGCCACGGTTTCTTCCCAGTCCGTGTACCTAACTCTTCAAACACTTCTCTCACACACTTAAAATACTGTTTTCTCCACCTGCCCTAGAACCTGAGACCTCGGGGCCTGGAAATCCAGCCCCAAGGTTTTGCGGGGTGGGAGTCAAAGCCATCTGCCTGCCCAGCTGTAGAATTTCGTTTCCTGTCAAAACTTTCTAATTCACACGCCATCGTGTTCAACTACACAATACATCCAAATTTTAATAAAGTGTGTGTCCTTTTTGACTTAAGATCATTTTAATAAAACTGATGCTGGGGCGCCTGGGTGGCTCAGTGGGTTAAAGCCTCTGCCTTCGGCTCAGGTCATGATCCCAGAGTCCTGGAATCGAGCCCCGCGTCGGGCTCTCTGCTCAGCGGGGAGCCTGCTTTCCCTTCTCTCTCTCTCTGCCTGCCTCTGCCTACTTGTGATCTCTGTCTGTCAAATAAATAAAATCTTTAAAAAAATAAATAAATAAATAAATAAATAAATAAATAAATAAATAAATAAAACTGAGGCTGCAAGAAAATGCATGTCCCCTTGTGTTTCCACCAAAAGCAATTTGGGTTGTCAGAGCAAAAAGCCCAAGCGCTTCAGATCTGCGCAGTGTTCCTTTCTAGCGTCTTCTGTTGTCATCCCATAGCCTTAACGTTTTTTTCAGGTAATAACTATCTATACAATTGTCACTCTCTGAGCAGTCCAGGCAGTGTAATTCCTCTCTGTCCTTGTAGCTCCATTCTTGCTTCCTGAGTTACTGCTGTGGAAGCTTCTTTGACAGGCTGAGTTTCTTCATGGCAATGACTGTGACTTTTCCCTTTATTTCTCCACCTTCTAGCACAACGTAGCAGGGACTCAGGAAATAACTCTTTGAATAAATGAAACAAACGAATGAAGTCTTTGTATATCTAATTCCCTGAATGTTCTGTAAAATTTTCACACAAGTCTAAAATTTTAAAGTTCATACTGAATTTACCTATCTTCGCCACGTGACAGAAACTATCACTTTTCTACACCCAATTAGCACAATGCATACTTAAACAGCATTTTAAAAAAAGAAAAAAGTTCCTATTTGTTAGCTATTTTCACCTTACGAGCTCTCTTCCCCAGATTCTCCATGCCTTATTACATCTCCTTGTCTTCTTCCTCCCCGCTAGCATCTCCACCGATAGACTTAGCAACACCTAGCTCACGGCCTTCTAGTCCTTTTGTCTGGAATGTAAGAATAATTTGGTTCCAGTACTGCAGAGAAGTGAAGTGCACATGTTCTGAAGTTAGGCCACTTAGGTTCAAAACCCAAATCCAACGCTTATGAGCTACGAGACCTTGTACAAGTCATTTAACCCCTCTAAGAATTAATTTTGTCATCATAAGGTTCATGTAAGACAAGAGCACAAGTAAAGCTCCTAGCACACAGGAAGAGCATATTCGCCAGTGCAATTGTTGAGGTGAAATCCAGTCATTAGTTTATGTGGAGTACACTGTGTTGTAGACATCTCAAGCTATGCCTTGGTGTTATAGTATGAGACCCTGGATTTTTCAGATTTAAAAAAAAAACCCACAATTACTTGTTTGAGCATCTCCTAATTATGATTAAATCAGCCTCTTGTAAATTTTCTATCTTCATTTTAGAAAATAAAGAAACAGGTTTATTGGCATTGTGACTTTGTCTGGATATCATGCTGTAAATGGTGGATAGTTTCTTGGACAAACTAATTTGAGAAGCCTGTGAGACATCCAGGTGAATGTGACCAGCTGACAGTTGGCTATGCCCATCTAGTGTGGAGAGGCAAGAGCTGTGGATTTTATAATCATCAGTGAATAGACTGTAACGAGGCTATGGGAGTACTTAGTGTATCCAGGGAGAGCACACAGTGTGTAAGAAAAGGAAAGCCAGTAGTCGACCTGGGTCTCTGAATCCTGTTCTGGTTTCAAGGTTTAATTCTCTTTTTGGAAAAAGTACAGAGGGAGTGAATGGTTGACCTATGTCCCTAGCAATATGGCAAATTATTCTGAAAAGACAGTAAGTACCACATATCTCCTACAGATTTACTCTCCACTGTTCTCCACCCTGCCATATACTCTGGGAAGCTGATCAAGATGGACTGGCATCAACAAGTCTCCCATGCCCACTGGATTACACTTGGCTTTGGCTAATGGGGAAACTTAACAAAAATTGTAGAATTCAAGGAGAGTGAAATCAGAAGAATTTTTCCTCTGCCTCATCTCTAGGAGTTTCCCTGGATCTGTCTGTATCTCTGAATGAAGGTCACCGTACCATTCTAAATGGCCAAATTGAGAACTACAGGTGTAAAATCTCAGGTGTTTCTAGCCCTTGATGAATGCATTGTCTCTGTAGTTAGCCTGTACTTTAATAAATAGTCCTTTTGTAAATAAATCCTTGCCAAATTATCCTATTTTTAGTGTATCCCTACATGTTGTATAAACTTATGAATTAGTAAGTCTAACCAAAGCTGAAAAATCAGAGTATTTTTCTCATTGTTTTGATTTCTATGTCACTTGTGAACTTATACTTGTTTAGTCACCATTTTCAAGAAAATATCAGAGGTATTGTTGGTTTGGCCTTAATTACTTTATAGAAAATTTTTTTCCTTTTTGTACAAATTACAGACCAAGTGGTCGTTCTCAATTATCAGGAAATGAGATATAAGCTATTTTTTTAATGTTATTTCTAGTACACCCTGTCAGGACACATTAGAGATTATCATTATATAATCATTGAGAGCCCGCATGGAAAAGTTAATTTTAATTTTAATTTTTTTATATGAAAAACCTTAAACAGTGATAGTAGCTACTTAGGTGAAAGTAAAGATCAACAAGAATGAGGATACAGAGCCACATCGTCCAGTGGAAATATAATGTGAGTCACATATGAGCCTGGTGGTGGGTATTATGGAGGGCACGTATTGCATGGAGCACTGGGTGTGGTGCATAAACAATGAATGCTGGAATACTGAAAAGAAATAAAGTAAAATGGAAAAAAAATTTCCTAGCAGGCACATTTTTTAAAAAATTGATTGATTGATTTTAGAGAGAGAGACAGCACTAGAAGGAGGGGCAGAGAGGGAGGGAGAGAGAGAATCTCAAGCAAACTCTGCACCAAGTGCAAAGCCAGGGCCAGGCCAGTCATGGGGCTCTATCTAAGGACCCTGAGATCATGACCTAAGCCTCAACCAAGAGTAGACTGCTTGACCAACTGCTTGCTAACAGGTGCATTTTTAAAAAGTAAAAAAATAAAAGTAAAATTAAGTTTAATACTGTATTTTATTTATTATATTTTAAATTTTACTGATTTTATATTTTATATAATATTTTATATTTATATAAATGAATATCTTGTTTATACAGAAATAGCCAAACACATCCAAAATATTATCAATCTGCAATGATTATAAAAAATATTAGTGTGGGGTGCCTGGGTGGCTCAGTGGGTTAAAACCTCTGCCTTCAGCTCAGGTCATGATCCCAGGGTCCTGGGATCGAGCCCCGCATCGGGCTTTCTGCTCCATGGAGAGCCTGCTTCCTCCTCTCTGTCTGCCTGCCTCTGCCTACTTGTAATCTCTGTCAAATAAGTAAAATCTTTAAAAAAAAAATTAGTGTGATATTTTACATTCTTGTATCATACTAAATCCTCAAAATCAGGTACATATTTTACATTTATAGCACATCTCAATTCAGGCTTGTCATCAGGAACCACATGTGGCTAGTGGTGATCAAACTGGAGAGTGTGAAGAGAGAATTATGGCCTCAAATAGTTGTACAAATATAGAGCCAAGTAAAAAAATGGAGGGTATCAAATAGTTACAGGGTACCTGCTTCATGTAGAACATATCATTCGATGTTCGAAGGTCAATGCAAAATGTAAAGAGAAAACTAATTAATTGATTATGAATCTCTGTAGAGTCCACACAAGTAAGCTTCCTCCATGATTTATAGTGGAATTTAATTTTCTTTTCCAAAGTCTTTTTTTGTTTGTGGAGGAAACATAATCTTCTTCTCCTTGGAAATGTGTTGGAGAGGGAGTGCTGAAGCTTGATTTTTTGGTATTAGTTTCCACACTCTGGGGATCATGGGAACCTGTGAGACTGCCTTTGAGTCCTTTGTCTGGACACACCATCTGGCTATTTCTTCTGATCCTGTGCCTTACAAAGTTCAAGACTATTTAGAGAGTATCGGGAGCATTAGTTCTGAGACACTATCCTGGGGGTGAGTTGAAATTGGGAAGGGCAGGGCACACTGTCTCCTTACACTCAGCTCTGTACCATGACTCTGAATGATGGACTATTCTTCCCTCTCTTCCAAATAATGACTGGTCCTTGGACTTGGCTGTTGAGATTTCAAGGCCAAGAATTTGACTCTTGTTGTCAGTACTTTTATGATTATATCCCCCTCTCTGAGGCAGTAGGCATAAAATACTCTAGCTGTAGTCTGCAAGTGTCATGAGGTAGCAGGAAGTACTATTTTCCACCACTCCCACCACCACTGTCATCATCACGTGGGAGCTTGTTAGAAATATAAAAGGTCAGGCTCCACCCTAGGTCTACTGAATCAGACTCTACATTTTACCAAGACTCCTCAGATGAGGAAATGTACTTTACAGATTAAGAAGCACTGATTTAGGGGCACC